ATGCATGCAAATGCGTAGGTATGGACTCTGAGAAGAACAAACCTGGCACTTTAGGTGGCAATTTTATGGGCACAGAGGTGCGGGTAGGCGACATGAGTTTTGGGTTGGAGGTTGGGGTGATGGCGCCTGGAGATGCGGCTATAGCGCCCCGCTCCTTCTCCTCATCGCCGAGGAAGATCCCTGAGGCTTTCAAGTCATCATGCGAGGAGAGTGCCTCCGCTATGCAACGTTTATCAGTCTACAGAAAGAGACAATGAGTAGTCAAGAGCTTTTGCATTCGAATATCAAACAAGGTAAACGGTGGATGCCTTGCACGTATCTCCTCAACAGTGGCAACATCCTCAAATGCACCAAGCGGCAGCCAGATTACCCCCTCAATGCTTGAGGTTATGGTAGGAGGCGGTTTGTTATGCTTCTCCAGCCCGCGGTTAATTAAGAACAACGATATATCTCCCCCTCCACGTTTGGTGCATAGCAATTATCCACGCAAGCATCACGCAAGATGAACGCGGGCAAGCACTGTGAGGGAGTTAAATTTCTGCAAAGTGTTGAAGCTAACCTGCAATTACACCAACATTCAGGGCCTCCAAACTACAAACCGAATATTTTCCAATTTGTAAAACTCTTAAATTTATGTGCGCTATCAATATACAAATTTACAATACGCATTCTAGGGATCACGTGGTAGATGTGCAGCCACGATGGTAATCGCCCATGCCGGAAGCTACACAAGCCGGGAATCGATTGAAGTCTGGGCCTCCGATGAAAATTCAGTCAATCAGTTTATCGATCTGGCGCCAGCATACAGAGCCCTGGGCAGCAACTCCGGACTGGCGTTACTGATGTCTGATTGATTTCTACCCTCCCCTAAACTGTTGCATGTTTCGTTACCACTCCCGCCTGTGACGATGGGCCCCAGGAAGACTTTGAAAACTCACACGAATGAGGATTTGGTTCCAGCAAGCGAAAAACACTCTTCTTCTGTACTAATACGATGCTTCAAGAATGGGCGTTTCAATCTTCAAAAAACTAATAGCTGCAAACTCTTTTTTAAATCACAATATACCCTATTTGTAAACGTACAATTTTAAGAAGGCGTCAGATGCTACCAAATGAAAACAAAACATGACAAGTTCATTGTGAGAGTAGACTTCTGCTGCATCTCTTTCTCTCTCTCTCCCCTCTTTCACTCTCTTTGCCTGCCCCCACAGCGGTTCACAAAAAAGTCCAGATCACGTCACGGTAAACGTTATTGGGAAGGGGCACTCGGAAAGGAGGGGATACTGAGGAGGATGGGGAGCACTTCTAGGCGCAGACTCATGCCGCGCCAACCAACTGCACTCGATCCCGCCTCTAGTTCTCTTGACACTGAAGGAGAAAGGGCGTT